GCGCGCTGAGCTTGCTCCGATACCTTCTGCGCCGCCGCGGCGAAGGCCTTCAGAGACTCCATGGTCGCCCCCTCCAGCGTGCGAACCCCTCTGATCCACCGCTGCCGTCGCCGCTCAGGAAGCGGGACAAGCTGAGTAACAGGGATGGTGCCAGCAAGATCACGAAGACGCGCGCGAAGATGTTTACCCCGAGGCTTATCCTGAAGATGTGCTGGTACACTGGCAAGCTCCACACAGTGGTTAGCGGCCGTCGACCCCCATCTGGCACTCGGATCCGTGGCTGTCACCCACGGCTTCTCCGCAGGCAGCTGTTGGAGCCTCGGTGGTCGAAGATCAGCACGCCCTTGATACTGACGTCGCTCCTGCGGAGGAATGCGGTAGATTTCTGAATAGTACCGTTCCAGGGGGCCAACCCAACTCGAGAAGGACTCACCTAGCTGCTGAGCCTCCTCAGACGCACATCTAAAAGCCAAAGGTTCTCGGGTAAACTCAAGTGGAACCGCTCGACCTCGAACCTGATGCGTGTCACTCAACGATAACCACAACATGTCCTCGCTCTGAGGATCCCACTCTTGCTGTATGGACTGCCGGGAGGAAGAAAGCGATGACCCTTCATGCCCCGACGAGGCGCCCTCCTCTGCCAGAGGTTTCTGATCGTTGGGCACATCGGTAGGCGCTTCCCCCTCATCCTCAGTGGCAAAATCGGGTTCGTCCTGGAAATCCACATGCAGGTATTGCAAGGGCGGGGGACTCTTAATCGACAAACTCCTGCGAGGTCCCACACTGGCGGGACTTCGGTAAAATTGTGAGGTCTCCTTGAGCCTTCCTGAGCCTTCTTTTTGGAACGTTTGCTGTCAGGGTCCGCCGCGCGCTTGGCTCTAGCAGGATGGTCGAAGGCCCTGGGCCGCTGGAGCACCCAACCTTGAGCCCTAGAGACACTGAAGTTGACCAGAATCTGTAGCCCATAGTGTGCCCTGTCTGCCCCACCAATCGCTCCAAAGTCGGCTGTGATACATTCCTCTGGAAACAAGTGCTGGGCTCGCCTGTCGATGACCACGTAATCGATCATCCTGTCAGCTCCAGCAGAACAAATATATTCTGTATTGTGCGCTGTGGTAACTTCTCCTCCAACTAAATCCGACCACCCAGATTTCGAGAATTGCTGAGGCGTACAGTTCCAATCTCCCGCCACCATCAAGGGTGCCTGCACCGTCCTAAGAATGGCGCCCAAGTTGGAAAGCTTCTGCATATTGCCCTTTACGCCAACACTGCTAGTAAGATAAACTCCCATAACCAGGGGAGACTGTCCATGAGCTCGAACTTGCATACCAACAAGATCCTCAACATCAATGCCTGGTTGATCTGACCTGTCCAACTGTCTGAGCCCGACTTGGTCATGCGCTGATGAGGCCAAATGCCTCCGCGAAGCAACTTTATATCTTTTGCATATGCCCATGGTGATGCCTCCCGCCTTGGATGCGGTAGGCGAGACGCTAGCCGCCGATGCAATTCCAACGTAGCCAGCCTTCCTCCAGTCCTGCAAGACAACGTTAGACTTGTCATGCATAAAATGCGTCTCTGGAATAATAATGACGTCGGCAACTTGCTGCTGGGCCAGCGACTTGGCCGCGGGACCCCAGCCCCCCGGTTTCGCACATACAGGGAGCGAGTGACCTCGTGCTCGCCAGCGCCGTCGTCCCCTTCCATCTCGCGGGAGGAGGTCGGGGGCCAACGACGTGTCGCGCATGGCGCGACGAAGGCAGGCGTGGGGCCAGGCCCTGCGCACTCAGCACCTTCTCCCGTCGCCGCTGGGAGCCTGACCTCCTCCCGAATAGCCGAAGCCGTTGAGTGCGCCGAACTCAGAGTCGACTCGAAGGCCCCCATTGAAGATGACGGGCAGTCCGCTGCACACTGCCCTGAGGAAATGTGATGAGACAGGTTCTCATCACCCGTAGTGGTCGATCTGCTGCTGGTACTCGGTGGGAAGGGATCGACCCCTCGACCTTCATTCTTCAATGATCCACCGAGGTCGAGGGGTCGCTGCACGCTAAAGGCTAGACCGCTCCGCCGCCTACTGGCGGGCCCTGTCGAGCAAGGACTTGGCCTCCGCCTCCAGCTTGCTGGCGATGGCCTCCATCCTCGCATTCTCCTCCCCGTCTGCGTCGTCACCTGGGACTGGCACCCTGGCAGCATCGCGCGCGGCGACCACATCAAGAGGGTCTCCCGAGCCAGCTGACGGCTGCCCTCGTACCCCTGGAGCAGGAGGCGCAGGGCCTCCCGATGGCGGCGGTGTGGACCTCCGCTCCTTGGCGTTAGACTCACGGATCTCCGCCAGCGAGTCCCGATGCTCCTTCAGCTTCTCCTGCAAGCTGCCGAAGGACGCCTTCATCGTGTCAAAGAGAGCCTTCTTGACCGCAGACTTGCGGCGCTCCAGCTCCTCCAAGTCCGTCTGGTTCCTGACTCCGTCCGAGTTGTCAAACCCCGACCCAAGGTCCAGCGAGATCACCGACTCCTCCAAGTGATTGGCCGTGAGCATCGCGTACTCACAGACCCAGGCTTGGCCTGGGACTGTTGTGCACTCGGGATCATAGCCTTGAACAGGGCGGCCCTCTCGTGCTCAGCCTCCGCCAACGCAATGGCGGCTTCCTGGAGCACGACTTTGTTCTTCTCCATGTCCGGTGCCAGCTTGATCTGATGCCTCTGCGCCTTGTCGGAAGCCGACTGCGCCCTCTGCACCTTCGCCGACACCTCGGTGACTTGCTGGGTCGTGTGCGGCTTCGGCTGGCTGGCCGCTTCCGCGGCCGCCGCAGTGAGCAGCACCTGGGCAGCCTTGGCCGCCTGCGACTCGGGCTGGGCCTTGATCAACGCTTCCAACTGCGCCGAGAATGCGGCCGAGGTTCCCCCCTGCTGCCCGCGGCCTCCTTTACCCTTGCCCTTGGAATTCTGCAGGTCCTTGCCCTCCTCGAAAGGATGGTTCGAGAAGGCCGACCCACACAGGCATGTGTTGCGGTACAGGGCCAACTTGCTGGTCCAGGCCCATCTCTTGCACGTTCCCGAACTGCAGCGGACCTTAAAATCACTGTTCCCTCCTCCTGGTGGCGGCGGTGGTGGTGGGATCCGCGTCGGCGTCCACCACGGCCCCCGCGGCATCGCCCCTTGAGGCCAAGCGGGCATCCCGCCCGCCATCTGAGGACCAGGAGTAAGGGGCATGAGCGGCTGGAGTGGCGGCCACGGATCGCTCGGGCCGATCTCCTGCAGCTTCTTCTTCATGCGGGCTTTGCGCCCCATGGCGCGATGTTTTGCTACCGACTACTCGTGTCCTGAATCCGCCCTGGGGATCTCGGACTCCAGCCGACACCTCGTGAAGGTTGTCGGTGGCCCAGAAGCCCACCGCGCCGACTCGGCGCCGCGGGCGACGGGGCCAAAACGGCTGGAGGAGGAGGAGGAGGAGGAGGAGGAGGAGGAGGAGGAGGAGGGACGCAGGGACCGTCTCTTCGACACGAGGACCCAACACCACAGGCTGGTTGGGAAGAAAACAAAAAGTCGGCCCTCCTTCGACGGTCGAGGTAGCGGCGGCGCTCCGTGGCACTGCTGCGCACCTTTGTGGGCTTCTCCTGGAGGCCTCTCGTGGCCGCGGTCGGGCCCGCCTCAGAGAATGCATGGGCCGAGGTGGGCCCGGGGAGGGGTTCGGGGACCTGTTGGAGGAGGAGGAGGAGGAGGAGGAGGAGGAGGAGGAGGAGGAGGAGGAGGAGGAGGAGGAGGAGGAAGGAGGGAGAAGGGAGGAGGGAGGGAGGGAGGATGGAGAAGGGAGGAGGAGGAGGAGGAGGAGGAGGAGGAGAGGAGGAGGCGGAGGAGGAGGAGGAGGAGCAGGAGGAGGAGGAGGAGAAGGAGAGAGGAGGGAGGAGGAGGAGAGGGAGGGAGGGGGGGGGGGGCGATGCCGGCGCACGTGAGGGGGTCGAGAGATCCGCGGGGCCCCTTCGTGGAACAAAGAGCAGTGTGAGCATGTGGAATGTGGAGAGGAGGAGGACGAGGAGGAGGAGGAGGAGGAGGAGGAGGCAGACGAGGAGGAGGAGGAGGAGGAGGAGGAGGAGGAGGAGGAGAGAGGAGGAGGAGAGAGGAGAGAGGAATGTGGAGAGGCCTTGTGAGAATGTGGGGCTCCTCAGAGGGGCCCAGGGCTCGACCGGCACAGTGCTTTACGTTCTCGTTGTGTGGTAGTTCTCACTCGCTTTGCCTCTTCGCTCCGCCTCTGCTGCAAAACGAGATCGAAACGACAGCGGCCAACGAAATCGAAACGACAACGAAATCGAGCCCTGGAAGGGCCTGGAGGCTTCCAGGCAGCCCTCTCAGAGTGGCAGGGAGGGCTTCGGAGAAGTCCCCCGCCTTCTGGGGGGCTCACCTGTCTTCTCAGAGGGCCGCCCCTTCTCTTGTGACTCTTGTGCGCGCCGCCCATCTCGGGCACCACGCCACCTCTGTGGAACAAGGAGGTGATGCACCTGGTGCAGTGGTGTGGAGAAGAGTTATTGCACCGTGTACTGTACGTTGCGACCTCACAGCTGCGCCCTGTGGACTGCACGGTGTGGGCTGCAGCGCATATCTTGCAGTCTAATTCGTGTTGCTTCGCGCAGACCCCGCCCGCATCCTGTTCCCCATGGGCTCTCCTTCTTAAGAGGAAAACAGGTTCTGCCACCCTCCCCCCCCCCCCTGGGGTTAAAGACCCCCTGGGAACCGATGCAAGAGAATGACAGCAAGTGAATACGAGATCGGGCCCAGACATCCGGCTGCTCCAATTTTTTTGGTGCGCGTGGGCACCAGAGGTCCCGACCGCTTCCCCGGGACCAGTTTTCCGTCCCGAATCACTTTTTGACGCTCCCGAGGCCCGGCGAGGGCCCCCGGAGGCCGAAAACTGCCAGAATCCAGCCGCTCCAATTTTTCTGGAGCGTCGGATCTCAGGGGGGGATGAGGTGGAGGAGGAGCGAGGGAGGCGGCATGAGAGCAGAGAGGATGAACGAACACACGAGGCGGCCCGAGGCGTTTCGGATCCCTCCACGCCGTCTATACCGCCACGCCACGGCTCTCCTGGCCTCTGGAGGGGTCGCGACCCAGATGCTGGCGACGATGGCCACGACGACTGTGAGCTCGACGACTCTGCGCATGGGGAGAGTGACGACAGCGACTGGCACTGTGCACGCGGGTGATCTGTCCGCTGTCCGCCGCTCGCAGCCTCGTGGCACTGTCCCCGGTCACATGCTCTTCTTGATGTTCTTGAACTGCTCCTTGACCTTCTCTTTTGTCATCTGCGTCCATGGCCGTGTACGTAGCAGTGCGTGCACGAAGCTCAGCATGCAGCCCACCAGAATGCCACGTCGTGCTGGCACGGCCAACGGAAGGGCCAGCAACCAGAGAAGACTGTGAGCGAGTAGAACAACAGCAAGTCGCAGCCAGGACCCACCCAGCTCCCTGATGCCTCCTCCAAGCCACTGCAGCCTTCGCACATCGACTTCGAAGAAGTCGGGAGGCACCAGAAGCGCGCACACCTGCAAAGCACCAACAGACCCAAGAAACAGCGGCTGGCTGCTACTCGAGGCAAGCAGCGCGACGACAAAGACCACGGTGACCTTGGCGTCTGGCCCTCCACTCCGCGAGTTCACGAGTCCCGCTCTCGCGGGCCCGGTGACGCTGTCCGATCAGAGATGTGGACGTATCAGGCAGAGTGCCTGCCACGAGCCGATCGGACGACATATTCGACCTAACAATGGTATCGATCAGCGATCGCTTGATCAAGCGGGCACGAAGGCCGTGGCGTAGTTCCCGGCAAAACGCTCGGCGTTGGACAGCGCGCGCTGCATCGGATGGTCTGGCGGCCGCATCTCCCCCCAAAACTCGCGCCACGGCTGGCACAGCTGATCGGGCGTTGACAGACATTCTCCTGGCCCGAGGTGCTCCCCGCTTCTCGCCCATGCTGGGGCTCGCAGGGCCCTCGGGGCCTTGTGCGAGGAGTGACCTCGGGGCCAGCCTTGGAGAAACCGGGGCCACCTCGGGACCAGGGGTCGGCGCTACACGAAGAGTTGATGGGCGCACCCTCCACCACCACTACCACAGGAAGGACGGGCGAGTGGAGGATGGGGCAGTCCTCCTCCTGCTCCTCCTCTTCCTCCTCCTCCTCCTGCTCCTGCTCCTCCTCCTCCTGCTCCTCCTCCTCATTCTCTTCCTGCTCCTCCTCATGCTCCTCCTCATCCTGCTCCTCCTGCTCCTCCTCCTCCTCCTCCTCCTCCTGCTCCTCTTCCTCATCCTCTTCCTTCTCCTCCTCCTCCTTCTTTCCCTCCTCCTCCTCCTCCTCCTCCTTCTTTCCATCCTCCTACTAGTGGCAGGTGGTGGTGGAACATTGGCCACGCGCAAGAGCGGCTCCGGGCAAGGACGGGACCGCCGGGGCGCAGCCTGCCGATCGCGGCACGTGCGGTGCCACGGCGGCGGCGGCAGCCCGCTGCGCCGCCCCACCGCCGCGCACGACCCAGAGGTCACTCCGGCGGAGGGCCGCTTTCGTGTGCAGCCGGCAGGGGGCCAGCAGGGGGCGAACGGGTCCCGAGGATGGGCCACGTTTTCCACCAACACGCCACCAGGAGAGACAGGAGAGGGGGGGAAGGGGAGGAGGAAAAGAAGGAGGAGGAGGAGGAGGAGGACCTCCTCTCATCCTCCCTTCTCCCCCGCCCTACATCAAGTGGTGGTGGTGGTGGAAAATCTGCCCATCACCTGAGGGAAACAAGTCCTGGACCTCGGGGCCTTCCCCCAAGACCAGGTCTTCATCCTGAGCCGCGTTCCGGCGTTCCCGGGGCCCGTGGAGGGCCCCGAGCGCCCGAGAACTGCGAGACACCTCGGGGCCCGCTTCCCCCGTTGCGACAGGGGCGCGCCTCGGCTACACGCAAGGAGCGACCCCGAGCAAGAGAGACCCGCTTTGCTGCGCGGCTGCACGGCGGACGCGGGGTCGCCAAACCTGGGCGCGCAAGACGCCGCGACCGCTTCTCGAGCTCAGCGATCGGGGGAGCACCGTGGGGCCCTCACCGAAGCTCGCTCCGGCGAAAGGTCACCCTCACGTCCATAGCCGAACCTCCGGGTCAACGCCCGAGCTTGACGCCCGCCGGCGCGCCTCCCGCCAGCAGCCCCAGCAGCTCCGCGCAGAGCCCCTCGCAGGCCGCCGCGCCGCCCGGCGGGCCGCGCAGGGAGCGCAGCGCCCGGAGGAGCCAGCTGTCGCTGAGGGCCGCCAGCAGCGCCTGCAGCGGCGCGTCCATCGCTCAGCTCCCGCCGGGCTCTCGTTGGGGGGGCCACATGCGAACCCTACCCCTACCGTGCACGATTTCTGAGGGGGAGGGTGGGGGGTAGGGGTACGGTTCGCATGTGGCCCCCTACTCGTGGGGCCCGCCCTTCCTGCCCGCCGTCGCCCCCGGGCGTCGCGTCTGCGGGCAGCGTCCCCACCACGCGCAGGACGTGGCCCCGGGCTGAAGGAGCGACGTTCGGCGGAGCGGCCTGCTGAGGGCCGCAAGGGTCACCGAGGACCATACTTTGGAGCCGCCACGACCCCCGGAATAGCCGCCGAATTCTAAAGGAACTGCGCGGTATTTTTTTATTTTTGGAAAGCATGCAACACTAGGCGCGCAGGACCGCCGGCAGCGCCCCCCAACGAGCATCCATTTCGAATCTAATATCACCGCGGCCGTCGCCATCATCACCCCTTGAAGGGGGGCCAAGCACAAGCGCGCCAGGCGCTGCCAGCGCATCGTATTCGGCCATGTGGGGTCCGAGTGGGCCCGCACCCGAAGGCCACCCTGGCGAAAGGTCACTCCGGCAAAAGGCAACTCTTACGTATAGCCGGCGATTAGGCCCCGCGCGCGTATGTTTCTCAGGATGACCCAAGGTGCTCCAAGATGGCCCTGATCTTCTAGCGTTGGCCTCGCCGACAAACATGCGCACGTCCGAGCGATGCCAAGCCTGGGGCGACAGACAGGCACCTCGCCTCGCCTCCCGCTGGCACCTGAGCTGCAAGAGAGCCCAGAATCAAATCGATAAGCCGGATCAGCGATCGACATCAGTCCGATCGGCGGAAATCGCCAGCCGAGCCGGCAGAAGCGGAATCGGCGGAAATCGGCAGGCCAGTGGGCATCCCTTGAGAAACCGGAATCCGAATCGGAATCCGACGTCGAATGGATGCGGAATCGGAAGCCATCGAATTCGAATCGAAGCGAACCGGAGGGGTGAACACGAATGCTGCACCTTGAGCGGTGTGGGTCCGTCGCGAGCCGAAGCGGCTTCGGGCAGTGGCGGCGACCAGGGTGGCAGCGACGGCAGAGGCCACGGTCGCGGTAGAACGGCGGCGCTTTGCGATGTCGCATGGAGGCAGCGGAGGCGTCGGGGACGGTGTTGCAGCGTTGCTGACCAGACGGGCAGGCTGCTGCAGTACCCAGGGACAGAGAAAACGGGGGAAGGGGTCGCGGCCGCGACGGTGATGAACTGGAGCGGAGGGGTGGATGCAGAAAACCTAGAGAGGATGGGCACTTGGATGGAATGAGCAGGTGCTCGGACTTTCGAGTAGCGCGATGTCCAGAGCACCTGATGAGCCAATCAGGTGTAGTATAGAAGTCCGCCAGCCCCTCCGGGGGTGCCAGGCTGAAGATGTGCTGCCTGGGCTGATGCCGTGTGATCTTTCTGTTGCCCTCTCCAGTTCCTGGCCACCTTACTGCAAGGGAGCCCAGGGCGACCCCCCCCCCCCAAAAAAAAAACACCGGGGGAGAGGGTGTCTCCCTCACATTCCTGGCGGGTATGGGCTGCCCCAAGATCCCTGCACAGCCGTAACACAAGTTTCTTCAATGGCCTCTGATGAAGATCTCTCCCATCCCTCTCAAGATTCCTAACATGGCATGGTGCTGGGATCATTTGGCGGAGTAGTTTCCGATCCCGGAGACGTCGATGACTCTGTCATCCCAAAACGGGATCGCAAACTACTCCGCGCCAAGCCATATACATTCTCTAGCGGGATGCGATTGCGCGCGGAAGTAGTTCTAGCACAACTACTCCGAACTACTCCGCACGAGCGCGTCACTCCAAAGGGCAAGTTGAAAGAAACTCTCGCCACGGCGATGTATTAGAGGCCACCACGTGGCCATGACGGCCCAAGAGGCTTCCAGGACGGCGGCAGCAGGCTCCGAAGAGAACTTCGACGGCCCAAGACGGCCGAGGGTTGTCCCAAGATTGAAGGGGCCCCAGGACACACACATAAATACACACAAACAAACTAATTCCCCATATGTCCCTACAGATTCTGGGTTTTTGTCTTCTCGCCCAAAACCCCGATGTTCCCATATATTTTCTGGGGGATCGACGATGAATTGTGCCTGTGTGGTTTTTCCCCTCCTGAAAGAGGCCTCCGGGAGGGCCGCAAGACGCTCCCGAGAGGGCAAACACATGGAAAAGGCACGACATACATGAGAACACCACATCGTGTCTTCAATGTGTTCTGCCTGTCCCACATGTTGATCCCAAGATGTCCAGACATCACTTCCAGACGGCCCCCAGAGCCCTCGCCCCGAGATTGCCTAAGACTGCCCCGAGGTGGCCCCAAAAGGCTCCAAGATGCGCCAAATCCCCCAGAGTGGTCGAACAAGACCTTAAGGTGGCCCCAAGACGTCGTCAAGATGAGCCCCAGAGGCCTCAATGTAGTCCCGATGTTACCCTAAATGGCCCGAAGATGGCCCCAGAGGCCCTCAGATGTCCTTGAGAGGCCCCATGATGGCTTGCAGCCGCATGTAGCCACACCATGGCTGCGCGTTTGGCTGGCGGCAAAAGGCGCGGCCCTTCAGATATAGGTTGCTGGGATGTGCTGTTCAAAACAAAATGGCCAAACAACCGACTGAATCCGCTGACCCTGTCGGCGTGTGTGAGAGGCTCTTCCGTTTGAGTCGGTCGTCGTCGTAGTCGTCGTCGTCGTCGTCGTCGCCGCTCACCCTCAAGCGTTCCAACCGGAGGGAAGCCGAAGGAAATCGAGCAACGTCGTAACCGAGTCGAAGGGAAACTCCTTCCCTTTGATCCCTCCGCCACCGGGGAGGGGGGTCCCGGGGGGGGGGGACCCTCCTGGGGGGTAGCATCCCTCCCTGGGAGAAGCTTGCGGCTCCAGAGCGTCAGCGTCGTCGTCGTCTTCGTCGTCATCGCCGTCATCGCCGTCGTCGTCGTCGTCGTCCCCCTTCAGGGTCGGCGGCACCGACCGTAAGGCCTTCGCAATAACGCGCTGCGATTGGCTAACGAATCGATCGCCGTCGGTGCTCGGGGTACAGGGAGCACACGCGATAACAACTCCTGGCATACGAAATGTAGGGGCACAGCCTTCGCCGCCCCTTGGCTCGAGAGGGTGCCCCAGGGCTCGGCGGGCCCACTGTGAGGTGAGAGACTCTCGCTGGAGGACCCGCTGGCGGGCCAGCCTCTTACTCGGTGCGCCTGCTGTACATGTGCTGGGGCTGCTGTGCCTGGCTGCAGGCGTTGCTGCCTGACCTGCTGGAGCTGCTGGATTCCGGCGCATGCGGCGCAGAGCTCGGCGCGCGCGCCCTCCGGCTGCTGCACCCCGTGAGGGCCGCCGCTGCCAGCCGAGGCGCCCGCCGGAAGGCGTGGCGGCCGGTGGCTTCCAGGGGGGCGGGTCTCCAGAGGTGCGTTGGGCCAGGCGTCGGGGAATGCGCTCCCCGACCTCCTTCTCTTCCTTCTCCACCTCCTCCTCCTTCTCCTCCTCCTCTTCCTTCTCCTCTTCCTCCTCCTCCTCCTCACTGTCATCATCCTCCCCCTCCTCCTCATCATTTCCTCCCACCTCGTCCTCCCATTCCCTTCCCTCCTCCTCATCATCATCTTCATTATCAGCAGCATCATTGTCCTTCTCTCGAGTCTCTTTTTTTCCTCATCCTCCTCATCCTCCTCCTTCTCCCCTTCCTCCTCTTCCTCCTGTCTTCCCCGTGTTTCTCTGCGTTCCTCCACCTCTGTATTGGGCGGAGGCCTGAACCTCCTTCCTCGGTAGGATAACTGAATCCTCCTCCTCCTCCTCCTCCTCCTCCTCCTCCTCCTCCTCCTCCTCCTCCTCCTCCTCCTCCTCCTCCTCCTCCTCCTCCTCCTCCCCCTCCCCCCCCGTCCCCGCCCCCTCCCCCCCCTCCTCCTCCTCCTCCTCCTCCTGCTCCTCCTCCTCCTCTTCTCCTCCTCCTCCTCCTCCTCCTCCTCCTCCTCCTCCTCCTCCTCCTCCTCCTCCCCCTCCTCTTCCTCCTGCTCCACTCCACCTCCCTCTCGCCCTCCACAATTAAACAATATGAATACTACTCTCCTCTCTCCCTGGTGGCGTCTGGGAAATGTCCTGCCCCCCTTCGCGTACTGGTTGTCTAAACAGAGGATTCCCGGGAGTTGGGTTTTCGCTTGGGTTGTTGTTTGTCCAAAATGCTGCTCTCGCTGAAGCGCTGGGCTCATTTTCGGGCTAACGCCCGTTGCGAATCGTGCTCCCGCTGCAGCGCTGGCCTCATGTCCGCGCTTCCGCTCGTTCCGAACCGTGCTCCCGCTGCAGCGCTGGCGTCATTATTTCCAGCGCCATGCCACGGCATTGTTTTCGGTCTTTCCAAATAGGCCCCAAAATTTACAAAATGCCCCCCCGAAACAACCATCGGAAGAGATTACACGTTCGGTGTCGATTCGTCGTTCTTTTCGGCCGCGGAAGCCGCCGGAACACCTTGGGGCGTTGCCACGCCATGCTGTGTCAGGCTACGCGGTGATCTTCAACACCATGCTACGCCGTGTAATGACATGCCCTGCTACGACATCCGACAGTGCGAATAAAGAAGATACCTACGCCATGGTAACGCATGGGAGGGAGGGGTAGGACGTCAGATATGACGCGAGCGCACCTAGCTTGCCCTCCCCCCCGCCCCTCCTCCCCCCCCTCCTCCTCCTCCCTCCTCCTCCTCCTCCTCCTCCTCCTCCTCCTCCTCCTCCTCCTCCTCCTCCTCCTCCTCCTCCTCCTCCTCCTCTCCTCCTCCTCCTCCTCCTCCTCCTCCTCCTCCTCCATCCTCCTCCTCCTCCTCCTCCTCCTCCTCCTCCTTCCTCCTCCTCCTCCTCCCCCTCCCCCTCCCCCTCCTCCTCCTCCTGCTCCTCCTCCTCCTCCTGCTCCGCTCCTCCTCCTCCTCCTTCTTCTTCTTCTTCTTCTTCGTCGTCTTCTTATTCTTCTTATTATTCTTCTTCTTATTCTTATTCTTCTTATTATTCTTCTTTTTCTTATTATTCTTCTTCGTATTCTTCTTCTTCTTATTATTATTATTCTTCTTCCGCTCCTCCTCCTCCTCCTCCTCCTCCTCCTCCTCCTCCTCCTCCTCCTCTTCCTCCTCTTCCTCTCCTCTCCTCCTCCTCCTCCTCCTCCTCCTCCTCCTCCTCCTCCTCCTCCTCCTCCTCCTCCTCCTCCTCTTCCTCCTCCTCCCCTCCATCCCAAGGCGGAGGCCTGGACCTCCCTCTGCAGGTCCAGGAGCGTCTTCACGCCTCTCTTGCGGATCTCCTCGGGCCGAACGGTCATTTCCGTGCGCAGGCCGCGCCAGAGGCAAGAACGAGAAGCCTCCTTCCCTCCCATCCACAACAGAATCAGTATCGTCATCAGCACTGCGATCCTCCTCATCATCGGCATCATCATCATCATCGTCATCATCATCAACACCCTCATCATCGTCATCACCATCATCGCCACCATCAAAATCATCATCAGCAACAGCATCGTCATTATCGTCGTCATCACCACCAACACGATCACCACCACCATCAGCACACTCCTTCGTCGTCTTTCTATTCATCATCCTCCCCCGCTTCATCCAACAAACTTACAAACATCACCCCCATCGTCATCGTAGTCGTCACCACATTAGCCATATGGTGTCGGATGTTCACTTCTGCTAGTAATGAATAAGATTACATGTGTGTCTGATGTCTGTCTGACATGGGTGCATGTGGTCGGTGCGTTGGTGCATGTGGTCTGTGCTTGGTACATGATACTGGTGCATGTGGTCGGCCGATGTTCCGATGTACGCTTCTCTGCACGCCATTGCTAGTAACGATCGGTGAATGATCTTGATATATGGTTTTGGTGCCTGCTCTTGATGTGCCCTCTAGATGTATGTGGGCAGCACGACATCGTGACGCCTCGCCGGCGTGACGTATACCAGTGGTACGTGTGCGCGTTACTTAAGTATGACCTGCACATATCGAATTATCCCTGCGTGTGTATGAATGTTCTTACAAGTGTGTGTGTGTGTGTGCGCGTGCGTCAGATGCGTTTGCTTCGTACGCTTGGTGCGCACGCGTGCAATCTAGATGCGATGTGCATTTTGCGCAGGTGCGTTGTACATGAAGGTGACTGATGTGCGCTCTTGTAACCAGTTCACTCTGGACGTTATGTGCGGGTATGCTATGTTATCCTTTCTGTCTGCAACTTACTGGCATGTGTTCGCTACGTCGTCATCCGTCGAAGACGCGAAAGGGCAACCCGGACT